ATTCAAAATATTTACGATTATAATTCTGTTTAAAATTTAGCTGTAAACTTTTTTCAATATGTGTTGGAAAATTTCTTCCAACTTTACGCTTAATGTATCCCAATCGGACGACATATTTTTTAATCCAATTAGCTGAAAGGCCATATATTGCTATTAATACAAATGGTATACGAATATTCGCAAATTCTACGGTAGATCTGTATTTATCATCTGAGAAGGAACAGTCTTGTAGATTAGCGAGACTTGGTAAGAGTAATTTTTTTTAATTTAGTAATAATGAAAAATTTTGAATTGACAAAAGAAATTGTCACTTTATAATTAAGCAAATAATCATTTGACTTGCAGAAAAATTGAAATTTATACAATTATAAACTATTTTAATTACAAATAGCATTTATCATTTCAGTGATGAATTCAACAACCTATGCGATACCGACAATCTTACATAGGAAACTTGTAGGTGATATCAGTAATGTTACGGTAATATTACGTGAACACGATTCAACTGTTGGACACTTCAACGTTCAGTATGCTTTTCATTTTACCTCATTTTTTGCACTTTTTATTTGCTGTTAGCTGGATAGGCTGTAGTTGAAAATAAACTTTGAAATTTATCATTCCATAAAAAATAACAGGTGTTTCTTTTCATTTCTTGAACTTGTCATCTTTCATATTTTAAAATAAAATTTAACACATTTCCTTTAAGTCTTTCAAAGTTTCATTTCATACAAAATAATTAATATAAGACTTATTGCAGAGTATTAAATCCTGCAATTTCAACTTATCGAACTTTTTAAATTCGATATTTCAGAGTGCTCGAACTCTTACAAAAATTAATGGCAAAAATTGTGAGATCATTTGGAGGAGCGGCACTTAAAATTGGTATACCAATACCGCTCTTTGATAATGTGACAATCTCAGATGATGCCCAAATTGTTACCAAAAATGGATACATTCGTGTTGATTTTGATTTTACTTACGGATAAAATTTTAAACTTTATTTTGTTCAAGAAGGCTTTAATATGAAATAGCGATGAAGAGGTAGTGTGACATTTAGCTAAAAGTTATGTGATATTTAATTATTTTCTGAAAAGCATTGAAACAATTAAAGTTATGAAACGTATGGAAGGAATGATAGAATTAAAAGGTAAAAGTCGAAAAGAGGGCATCATTCATTGAATTCCATAAAGATTGCCCGAGAAATTATCCTTTTTGATTTCATTGATAAAAGAAATTGCGAATACAGAATTGTTTGGCAACATTTTTCCGTCTTTTAAAGTTTTTTTTTAAAGCAAAAATTTTATAAAGAGAAAAATTTAAAAAGAATTAGTGGAAAAGATTAAAAATGATTTCCATTTGCACCTCAAATCCATTCCGTAAGAAATATGAAGTGATGTAATTTTTGGAACAAATCATATTTAATGAAAATTTTTGTATTCAAATTTAAACATTCACCTTCAAATCTTTTTAATATGAACTGATACGGAAACAATCTCATTTACCTCCTGTTCTTTGTTTTTCACTTATGACATGAAAAATTTCTAACGTTAATAATTTAAATGATATAGAATGAATAGAAAATTCATCGCATAAATAGAAATTTATAAAATGAGCTAAAAATTATTGAGATATTAAATCATTTTATTTGGGGAGTGGTTATATGAGTGATTTGATTTTAATTTTTAATTTTAACTTTTTTTTGCTAAGTACTATTGACATTATGGATATATAAGGAAAAGATCAAAGTATAATACTTTGTTATGCGCGAATAAAACAAAAGGTATCATTCAGATGCGCAAAGGAATAACTTCGATAATATAATGGAATAAATCCAAACTTGCCTTCTTGGAAATTACATTTAATTCAAATTCAAAATAGTTATTTTGTTATGAAAATTTATAAAAGATCAATCATTCGAATTATCATTTAATCTAACATTACCAATGATCATTTAATCTAATGAAAAAGCAAAATCAATTTCTGAGTAATTCTATTACACATTTTCCAGGTGACACATTAATAATTTTTGCTGAGTTCCAAACATTACAATTGCATGATGCTTTTCGTTTTTTGTGATATGTCAGAATGCATATTAAATGTAAAATAAGGAAACTCAGGAACTGATATGAGAATAACTTTAAATGTCAATTTAACATATTTCATTTAAAAATGAATAAGCATTTTTTTGTACTGGTTCTGTTAGCTAAATAATTTTTAAAATATATGTTTCAACTTAACTATTTGTCTAGCTTCCCACATTTGATACGTGTATGATTTACTTTTGACTATTTAATTTCGAAATGTAACTAACTGTAAGGTGGCTGGTAAAACATATTAAAATGCTTTTTTAATTCCTCTTACACATTTGGAATTAGGGAGGCATTTTAATTTTTGCTGTTAGCAATGCTATTATTAATGAATTTTATTTCACTAAAGTGTCTCTCTGATTCCTCCCACATATTTCATTTTACCAAAAGAGTATGTTAAAGTTTTTTTTAGCGAAAATTATTTCATTGAAAATTATTTCATTTCGTTTTTCATTTTTTTTTTGTTTTTTTCATTTTTATCAAACTGCAACACTTTAAAAATGCTTAGTTGCATCATATTAACAATTAAATCCTATTTATTTCCATGTAAAATAATTATATCAATTTAATACATTAAAATATAAGTAATTTTTAAAAGTGACATTAGCAATATTTATTCATGAAATACTCTCAGATATGATTAATTCAATTAAATGTGATGGGAAAAAATTATCCTGTATTTCAAAGATAAGGCTTTTTATATACTTTTTTATGTAATGGAAAAAATTACAGTTTTCCTGAAAAAGGAAATTTAGGTAAACTAAGATGAGACTTTAGTATTTCAATGATACCGATGAACGTTATCGGCACTCTGTGAACACCACTAATCAGAATCTATGCGTGTTTTATGATTAGAGAGATTCAGGAAAAAGTAATCAACGTTGTCATGCAAGTTAGAAGTTCGTGTAAACATCTGTCAGCAACATTGTTTGGATAAAATGGATTTATTAAATTTATAAAATGAATAACAAAATATTTCAGGAAATACTACAATGCGAATACAATTTCTATTGATTATTCAAATCTTTATTATTTGCAGTAGCAGTGAAACGACATTACGTCTAAGATTAAACCAGAAATGTTCGACATTCATAGCTTCAGTTATGAAAAAAGGGGTAAGTTTCAGGATTTTCTAATTATTCTGATTTGTTGAGAAAATTTTTAAAAAGTCCACCGCTATCCATAATATGTGTTACATATCAGATAGTGATATGAAGTGATAATAGAGATGTTTCCTAATATTGTCATCGATCATTAATGATCGATATGTCATGCAAATCAAAAACAAAAAAAAGTTGTGAACTATTTAACAAATATTATTCATAATGATTCATCCATTCCGAAAATTTCCATCCTATTCCGTAATGTACTTTAGTATTAAAATATTTTGAAATGTATTGGCTAATTTTTTAGTTGCAAAATGAGATGATGAAAATATCGTCGATATCCCCACAGAAAATACCGTTTGGATCGGGATATGCTGATGTAGAAGGAATGAGAGTGGAATCATTTGAAAGTCCTGATATTAGCATCTTTCCGGCCGCTCCAGATGGTTTCGTCTTGAGTACCAACGGTGGCTCTGTCACAATAAGCGGTTCCTCGAGTGCTACATATACATTTCTTTGGACTGTAAGTTAATTAAGTTTTTTTTTTCTAAGATTTCAATTCTGATTTCGATAATAAGTGAACTTCTTGGTCCTTCAGTTTTATATTCTAAGCATTAAATGTTTGTCTTTTTTTTACACGATATAGTAAGTGAAATAAATATTCATTAGGAATATCGAAAAAAAATTATGAATTACTATTTCATTCCTATTCTTGTTTAAAATTGTCAAACTTTTATTCAAGTAATGATATTTTTGAATTTGTTTCAGATGTATTTTCGGAGTAATTGGTCAATTAAAATGGATGGTATCAAAGTGTCCACGCGGATAAATCTGGTATCACAAAACGGAAAACTTCAGCTAAATTTTAAAGAATGCCAATTAAAAGTTGAAAATATAAATTTGAGATTATATGGAGGAATAGGAGCGTGGATTGCAAATCATTTCACAGGTGGAGCTGAAAAGAATATCAGAAAATCTTTGAAAAAAACGGTAAGCCGTCTTTGATCTTCTTAGATAAAAAAGATATCAGTTAGCTTCCACTAATAAATAAGTTGAAATATTATCGGTTTTGGAGAATTCTACGGTAAAATAAAAGGCCATTTTTACCCGTTTTTATTTGCGGCAATTTGTTCAATTGAAAGTGTGATTCATCTCTTGAAGAATTAATTATCCTAGTGGTATTTCAAAATTCTTACAACTTAGTCGAAATATAGAAAGGAGAAAGGAGTAAGACTCTCTAATTAAGGTAATTATTAGAAAGTTTAAGCTTATAGCCTATCAAATGATTAGACTTAACGTTTCCTAAGTAAATTTAAATGACGACTTTCAGGAATTTGAATACACTTTATTGTATGAAATATTAATTTTGAATTATTTATAATCCAGTACTTTTAGATTTGTGCAGGCTTGAAAAATAATATTGTAAGGGTCAATAAAAATCTGTGGTTAGAAAAAACACAAATCAACCTGATCGATAATGTTTTCCTCACCCATCAATTACTGGTACATTTAAAAACTTATAATTTATTTCTAAAATTATTAGGAACAAAAATATAGAATTGTTGATTCATTGATCAAAAACTATTTCGATTTATCTTGTTGACTTCCAGAAAAGTTTCATTCAGGGCTGAAATTTTCTTCTAAATGAAATTCTTTTTAATTTGCAATAAAAAAACGGAAAATTTAATGATTACAGGAAAATCCAAAAGTAACCAAAGATTTTATTCAATTCGACTTTTCTGCTTATTTAACTTTTGGACGATCAAAGTGTTATCTGCCATCAAAAGGAATCGACAGTAATAATAAAAATCGTAAGTGTCTTTTTTTTTCGTTTCATATCAAATCAAATTATTTATTTTAAAAGGTGGCATTTTTTTTTGACATTTCTCTTCCATTAATGAATTGAATAAATAGCATTCTCGAAATTTAATTGAATAGAATTGATTGGATATAACACTAATAATGTAACTGTTATTGTTCGCAGATCTCGTTTTTAAACAGTTACTTATATACTTGATTAACTGATATAAGTTTATGATTTGTGCTTAATTATGTTTTTACTTTTTGCTTTCTTGAATGCAATAAAAGGTATTCCGGATGAGATCCGTTACCCACTGCTTAGATCAGCTCTGCTGATCTATTAATAATTTTTTTTTTGTTCACCTTATTCTTTCTCATTTCTTTTCAATCTTTATTTTTATCTCTCTAACTCTATTTTACTTGTTATTTTTTAACATGAAAGAGAACATCATTTCTTATCAGATGCTGATTATTTGACGAAATTTAAATCTTACTTTAATATTTGATATTATTTCAGAACAAACTGTATCAAATCATATGGCCATTTTATGGCTTGGCGAACCTATGATAAATTGTTATCTAAAAACATGGTATGAATTAACAAATCATCATTTGAATATCGAAAACAATAAACGATTCCTCGACTTATACAACTCAATGTAAGTATTGGAAAATGAGTTGAGCTTCAAAAAACGATTATTCTTCATATTTTAGTAATTAAATTTCTTCCAGAGCATTTCTATTTTTTTGAAATTGTTTTATTGCAATACATTTTAACTTATATATTTAAATTTAATTTAGATTATTTTTGTTTTAGATTATATGTGCTTCTTAGCAAGTGCAGGCTAAATTAACTTATAATTTGCAGTTGTGAGAAGAAAAAGGAATGTATCGATAATGATACGGACGAAAATCAATTAGTTGACGTGGACATTTATTTGCTAGAAGCACCGATTTTATATGCCGAATATAGAATTTATGTAGAAACAAGCATTAAAGTTGTTTTTTATCAATCACCGAAAAATTCGAGCAACATTAAATTGAGAGAATTAGGTGAATTTTTTATAATTTAATCGGCCCTATTGATTTGTAATGGAAGTCGATAAAAATGATCGCTCTATCCAGAAGGTTAAAGTTCAGTACATTGAGCCGGAAATCTAACTTGATTATACTCGTAGATTAGTTGGATCAGTTACTAATAATCCAATATTCTAAGTTATAGTTTTTAGTTTCTTTCGTTGAATAACTATTCAACCATTTTGTCGATTTTACATTCAATAGATTCGCTGGTCAATATCGCTTCTACTAGTGAACCATAATTACTTGTCATTCTTTACTCTCAATGATCGATCTAAAACATTAAACTGATAGCATACCATTTTCCATCCTTTTAAACCAATTGCTTCTCACCATCATTCATTGTTATCACAGCTTACCATTGTTCTCATCTGTCAAAGCCGTCTGACAGTTGCGCATTCTTAGTTTATACTGTATGAACAAACAGTACGTCAAATGTGAGCAATTTATAATGTGCAAAAAAAGCTTTATTTCGAGATTTTGACATATCCTTGCATGTTTTATAAATGAGAAATTGTCAAGGGAAAGAGAGGAAGAATTTGTCAGACTTTCTTTTTTTATGGTTTCTGGAAGAACAATTTTTTTTAGATCTGAGATCAAGAAATTTATTAAATGTGACGATATCACAGGGAAGAATTAATGTACGCACAGAAAAAGTGGAACTGAAAACCACTCACGAACATGATACAGAATATAGCCATTTATTGTAAGTTTTTAATTACTAACAATTAACACAACTGGAAAAATATCAAAGGTCTTTTAGGTTGGGACACTAAGGCAAGTAAGGTCTACCTGAATAGTAAAGATTTCTAAGTTATCTGTTTTGAATAACTCTTTCAGATCTAATTCATCAACTACTTCTGGCTCATAAAAAGAAAATAAGAAAGCGATTGATATTTAACAACTAATTAAGGGCTAAAACTTTCTATTCATGGAAGTAAAAATAATTTAGGGAAGATATTCGATATGAACAAACTTGAAAACGTTTACTCTCTTATCATTGGGATGAAATTATGTCTGAAAAACGAAGTCAAAAATAAATTTTGACAAATTTAGTATTTGTGAGTTAGTTTTAAATTGTTAATGAAGTGATCTGAAAAAAAAATTTTTTTATAGGGAAACAGAAGAGTTGGACGATTTGATAGAGCAGACATTGAAGAAATTACAAATTTGGGAGATTACTATAAATATACCACTTTTGGCAGCACCTCATTTCACATTGTCAAATAATGCTACTTTTACTGGAATAGATAATTTCATTCGAGCTGATGTGGACTTCACTTCATCCGATCAGTGAATTTATGAATTTAATGAAAATTTCTTTTTTCATCAAAAATTGGATATGTATATCGAATGTTTTTTTTTAAATAGCAAATTTTAACTTACAGTTTCTTGTAATCTGTCCGAATGTATCATTTCATCATTCTTTATCACATTTAAAAACGTCAACAAATGTATCAATTATGAATGCATTTCCAAACTTACCGTACTTGATTCAATGTTTTCAATTACGGTAGAAGCACTAAATATATGCATACGGTATTACTTTCCCTATCTTGTTGCTATCATATTCCTAAAACAATACTATCCTTAACATCATCGGTCGTTCTATGATAATGCCTAAAAATTGAATAAATTAAAAATTTTTCTTTTTCTAAATTGTAAAGACATGTAAAATATTCACTGGGCGATATGATCACATTACGATTGAATTGTTTCCAACAATTTTACAATGAATGCGATATTTCATCCATCCAGCAGATCGGAAATAGGTAAGATATAGGATTGTTAATGAAATCCATGCAATATCAAATGAATTAACTTATAGCAACACTTCTTTCCGTTACCACATGTGCGCCAAATTGCATTTGTTTCCCCATTTGTTGCAGTATACTTTAAAAGCATCAATGCAAAGTTATAAGAAAAACGGAGCGAGAAGTTCGATAAATGTTTAAAACAATAATATTCATTCAGCCCCATTAGAATAACAGTCTTATCCTCTTTTGTTTCGTCTCTTTTTCTTATGGCCAAGGAAGTCAAAACCACTTGACAAATTACTTCCTTTACTCGGTATCATATCATGTTTCAAGAGTTCAAATCTGTCCAAAGTTCAACATCCTCAAGGACATGAGATTTGTATTTGTTCTGATTTTATAAGATGGAACATTTTAATTACTTCAAAATGGGAAAATCACTACTTGAATTGCTACTTCTTCATTTTTTGCTTCCTGACGATAAATATCAAATAGACATACTTAATCCACAAACGATACTTTTTATTATTAAGAATTGTGATTCTTAAATGAGCAATTTGTATTGGGGTGAAGCAGGAATGAAATCCCCAATTCTCATTCTTCACTTTAAGTGCTATGCTATTCAGTATAT